AGTTCAGGAAACTACGCTTTACTAAAAATCGCTCTTCCTCTTCCCCCAACTCCAAACTCCAAATCCCCCTCCCCCTTTTACCAGATATAAGAACTACCAACTGCTCACTGTCGGGACAAAATTCACGTTTCTTCACTAATAATTTAAAATCAATGCCCCATCAGTGTAGGTATCCCATGTTTGTGATTTGATACTTCTGCAAGTTGCGCACCAGATCTTTTATAACCCTCGGACAATTACTATTGGTTAATTACGGCTGGTGGGCGTGGCTTAGCCATCCTCACGTTGAAAGTAGCGGGTCCGAATCCACCAATGGCCAATCAGTCCCTCTGCGATTCGTTCATTCGTTTCGATGGTAAACTGGTACTGACATGACAAGAAGTTGAAGCTGCCAATAAGTACGTTTGTAAGCAAATCTTGAGAGACGGCGGTCAACGAGAGTTTTACTAATTGATGGATTTTGCTTGAACGTGTACAACCACTAGAGTTCTTTTCAAATGCCACAAGTTCATACAGCAGAGTTCTCTTATTTTATGAAACTCGCAAAAACACTGATATCATTGAGGGAGGCTTCTATCATTGTGACAGGCATAAAAAGTCAGTTTTATAATCACTTTAAGTTTCTTAATTCTAAGTGTTTCTCAATCCTAAGTGTTTAAAAAAAAATTTCTCAAAACAAGTTTCTTAATCATTTTTAGAATCCCCTAACACTGACACATTCTACTTTTATAGTAAAAACAGATGACTGGTACCTTTCTTGCTCGCTTCACTTGCGGTTTCTTCACTCCGGTCGACTTTCGCCCCGTGCTGGTCTTCTTCGCTCGCGGTTTCCGAGTTTTACGGACATGGCCGCTGCTAGCCTTGCTCTCTCCAAGACGGAATGAACCGGCCGCACCAGTACCTTTGGCCTGTTTCAGTGCACCACTTTGTAAACCTCGCTTCAGTGCCATTCTCAGATGCGAATTGATCTGAACAAAAAAAAAGCAGTTCATCTGTGTTCTGCTGAGAAACTACGTGTATTCAAGTGCCTCTTTCACATTTCAACAGTCCTGGAACAATCTTCCATATCTACAGCTACTTCGATGCGATCCACAAATTTACTAATAGTACTTTAGAAATCTATCTTTCCTGCTCATAATTTAAAAAATCCGATTTTTTTTTTGGTGTATAAAAACGGTCTTTTTGGGAATTTTTATCTCAATTTTTATCTTTTCCGCCCTTTTTTCCGGCAATTTTTATCTCAATTTTAAGATTTTTCCAACTAAGAATTCTGCGTACTTACAATCACTCAGCATAAAGTGAATCGTACAATGTCTTTTTGCGAATAAGCTTTGGCTGATGGTCGAAAACTGAAGGAGGAGTTGTATCGTAAGCCTTTCAAATTTCATGCAATTGTTTGTGAACTAGATATTCCCGACGCAAATATGCTTGCCACGAATTCAAATTATACGTATTGATCGGTTGTAAATGCAACCCTCTTCTAACCCTCCCCCACTCGAGCAAATCGGATCCAAAACATGTTTACATTGTACCAGCCAATAGTAGTAGTAGTAGTATTAGTAATCGATGATATTCATTCAGTCACAAAATCCAATCGTTGCCTAACGACACCCGACTGAGGCGATTATTATTATCGGTTTGTAAAATGATTGTAATACTCCCAAACCCCGTAATCTGGTAAATAATACAGTAGAAGTGCGGTTCAATCACCTCACACTCCAAAGAGTCATTATTTAACGACGATGAGAGAATGGGGAACAAACACCGAGGGAGTGCGTGGAGGAGGAGGGTGCGAGAGAAAAGGGGTTTAAGTATTACACAAATTCGAGAGGGGTGAGGGAGAAAAAGCAGGGGGAAATGGGTCGAGGAATAACAAAAAGGGGTGGCGAGCAGGTTACTGTAGTTGGTTGAGCTGCTGAATGCGCGCACTTGCCACTGCACTAACAACACAATGCGAGCAAGGAGGAGAAGGAGAAGGATGGG